GCTTTCATCTGAGCAGGAGGCAGTATCTAGCTGAGCTTGAAAAACACTAAGCAAACCTGGTTAGTGCTCAAGCGGGAGGGCATCAACAAGTTCCAGGGTTCCAGGCCAGACTGGGAAACCCCCAAAACATCCCCGATGAAAGCAGCAGCAATCCCCTTCCGTAGAGTGGCCAAGATACGGCAACTCTAGCACCATAAAACCATTAGTAGTTGGGCCTGACTCAAGGGAATCTTCACCTTCATATATACTCTTTACGCTAACCACGTCTGGGACCACATGCGATAAACCTCTCCCCAGGATTTTATTGTAAATTAAGGAGTGTTCTCCTTCATAAGCCCACACTTGCAGTCTGAGATGGTATGGCCCGTGTTGGATGCATTTCTTAGCTGAAAAATTTAGCATTTACCCAAAGCGTCATAGTTTTCTTGCTGTAGCTTACCTTGTGTACAGAACAGTTTAGAAACAACCAGCACTACAAATCCTTCTCTCAAGTGACTTATAACCTACACTGAGAAACAGAGGAAAGGTGAAATGAAGGCATGAGTAAGCATAATGTGATTGTTCAATGACACCTACATTGGCCTAATCACAGGATGCATGAATTGGAAACTTGATGCTCAAGGGATTTTCAGGTAATGCCTCTAAGCCATGGGAGTATATGCTGAAATCATTTTGAGAGTTGCAGTCCAAGATATTCAGAAGATAGCAGGTTTCCATTTAACACAAAGGGGACATTAGCCTTCTCCAACTCATCTTCCTCATGATGACAATTCCTGTTATCCCCAGGTATATCATACTTCCATACCTGGAATGCTGGGAGTCAATCTACTGGCTAGACATTTACTTAAGAGAAAGCTCTTGTAGATCCAGCAGCTTTTGATTCAGTCCAGTTTTCTGAATTAACTTTGAAGGTTAGGATAGGAAGCATTATAGAGGGGTTCCTCTTACCTACAAAGTTTGTTTCAGAAAACACTGTTGAGAGATTTCTTCTTGGCATCACAGGATTTAAGCTATGATGTCCAGGATGGCTCCACTTTACCTTTTCTGCTTTTTAAACACTGATGTGAAGCTGCTAAGTGTCATCCTTTAAGAAAATTCAAAGTTGGATTACAGGGATGACCCAAGGAGATGGGTCATGGGATTAGGCACCAAGCATAGCGCAGCTTGCTGAGGTTAGGAACACAGAAAAAGTGCCTTATGCCATGTCAGATGTAATAATTTACCACCTAATGGGATTGGAGAGTAATAATGCAAAATCTCTGTTGCAAATTCTTCATGCCAACTAAAGACCTTCTTTTAAGCAGAGATGCCAAAGAACTAAGTGTGCTTTCTACATTATTCCTTCCTCTGAACGGTGGTCCCAACCTTTGGTAAAACTGCTACATCACGCACTTTCAGACATTTGCAAATATTGGTTCAGCATTAGGTGAAGCCATCCAGGCTCTGAACACAAAGGTTTTTTCTACAACATGACTTATGTTCTTGGATAGGCACCTTGGTATTAATTACGTTTCTAATTAATATTGATTTGGGGCCGTGAAGAGAGACGCTTACTCCATCATAGCCCTTGCACCTTTAGCTGAAGAGATTTTCCATTTCTTTCCATTACTCTTTTTCCAGAATGAGGATGAACTGGACATCCGAGCAGGTGATATTGTAACCATAATTGAAGCTGGTGAAGATGGCTGGTGGACTGTAGAACAGAATGGGCAGCAAGGATTTGTACCTGGCTCCTATCTGGAAAAACTTTGATGGAATACTTCTGAGTGCTACATTTTTAATTTTTCCCAGCTAGAAACCCCTTTTAAAAACTCAGTTTTACTCTTTGCATGTGGCAGAAAAAGAGCTACAATTATACTATTTTAGCATAGACAACATCCTGTCTTTTTTTTTTTAAAGGACAACTATCAAATACATCATGACATCCAAACTTGCATTGTTTTTCTCGCCCTAAAAATGTATGATCCCAAAGGTTCTGGCTGTTTGTCTACGGACAAATCAAGGCCCTATCTGGTCCCATCAATGCATTAGCAGAACCTTGACCGGTTTTCTACAAGGCAAATTTTGCAAAACTACCTTTGCCATTTTCCATTTACATTGATGGACCATCCTGACTAGAAACACAGTGGACTTTACAATAAACAGTTGAAAGTGCATTTTTGAAATGGTTAGAACTTCATTCCAGAAGACACTTTCACTTCTTTCTTGCTATGAGCGAAACCACGGCACATCTAAGAGAACCATCCTTTCCCTAGCATTGCAATTTTTGACTCGGGGTGAAGCAGGAGGTGGGGGATCTGTCCTAAATGCTACCATCTCAGATTCTCAGCTGTTCACTGAAAATGCATTTGCAATTGTTCTAGTAGCGCACAGACCACCATTTGAAGTTTTAGCAGCTGAGAATCTGACTCCAAATGGTGAGAAGAAAGTTCAGAAAATAACCATGTGGTCTCTCCCAAAGTCCCCTTTCATTGTATTAAATATTTTGTCAGAACCTTTTATAATGTTTCAGTTTGAACACACTGGTGGCAGGGGGGTTGGTGGTAGTTAACATTCAGTATTATACCGTATTTATTTACTTACCTGCTGCAACCTGTAATGACAGGGAGCATCATCCTCCAAAATGTAAGGTCGTCTTGTTCCTGTCTGCCTAGATGGCTGCAGTTCCCAGGTGATCATAGCTATGAAGCAACCACCTCTGCCCCACACATCACCTTTTAAGGTTACTACCCAACCTCTTTGCAGGGGGATATTTTTACACAGCAAATTTGGACAACTGTTTCTTACCAGCATTTATATATTGTATCTCCCCACCCCTGCAAGTCCAATGCATCATTAGGTACCTGGCATGATGTAACCAGGAAACACAGCTGAATCACTTGCAATACAGATGTTACAGAGGTAGTTCTACTGCAGAATTTCAGAAAGCCCCATAGTAGGGAATACTAAGATCCAGTGTTGCTCTCTTTCCCCACCTCCATTTTCTTCTTCCTTGAGCAAATGTGACAGTCTTCACTTACAATTCAGAGCATCTGTTACCTCTCTAGTAACAGAGCTTAATAATGACATTTCTTCCTTTGGATACTTCAGGAGTTTATTAGGCAATGCGCTCAAATCAATCCCATCAGCATCATTTATTCTCTCTGCCAAAACAAAAGAGCTGCCAGAGAGGGACCCTTTACAACCAGAAAGTGGGAACTAGAAAGTGGGGTTGCTTGGTGGGGTTTTGTGACTGATTTGATGGATGGTGGGAAGAGTGGAGTGCCTGAAAACGAGACCTTTAGTTTGGGGAACCTTTCGAGCAGCTGCATTCAAGCAAGGAACGACTGTGCGGCAAGGAGCTGACGGACCCTCCTGCTGGACCTTCTGGGAAAGTTGCAACCTTTAACCTCCTCCCAGTCAGCAGCTTTGAAGCGGGCATCTGGTCACGTGTGCTCAAAGATGTGGGAAAAAACCCTGCCTTTCAATAGAAAAGGGCAGGTGCCTCACATCTCATTGTCAAAAGCAAGAGGGGCTTGCAAAGTCCGGTGCTAAGCTAAGCTGGGGAAGCACAGGGAGAACACGAGGCCTCAAGGACGTTTTCCAGACAGAAAAGATCTTCGATCTCTCTTACAAAGTGCTGGTTTCTCACCGAAATGGGCTGCTTTTGAAGTAACTTCCTAATCTTGTTAATGCCAAAACAAAAAACCTCTCACGGTTTCAGAGAGGGAAGAGCAATACACAAACCATTTAAAAAGGACACTATGAAGCCATCCAAGAATCCCGCAACTCCAGCTGGGTCAAGGGCCTATTCACCTGCGTATCTTTCAAGGGGATACCAGCTACAGCAGCAGCAGTCTCCTCACATCTCTATAGGGTTGAAAAATGCAAGTGAGGAAACAGCCACAGAAGGGACATTAAAAACATTACAAGTACACCCAGCAGGAAAGATCTTCCTGGGCGCTCGTGAAGATTTGAAAGTTGCCATACTTGAGCAAAAATAAACTAAAAAGTTTTAAATGGGAGGCTCCAGGATTTTGTCTGTTGGCAGGGAGACCTGCTGGGGAGGGAGAGGTGTTCCTCATCCTCTCCATGACCTGACTTTCCCGATAGGTCCAGTGTTCTCTCTTGTTATGGATGGGATGGAGAACACGCAAGGCTTCAGGTGAGGCCAAGACCGGCAATGGATACTGACTCCCACACAGGAGCCTGATACAGATCAGGGAACTCAAGAACGTTAATGAGCAAGGATGATCAGCCCTCACAGCTAAATCCATATAGGTTATTGTGCAGTGTATGGAAAACAGTGTGGCATTGGATAAAGCTCAGGTTCTCTCAGAAAACAATGATTAAAAAGGCTAACCATGGTTTAGTTTGGGGGAGATGTACAGAAGATTTATTTAATCTAGTTTCCTATTTACATGTCACTTTATCACATTCTATTTTGCTACTCTATGATAACAAGTCACTCAATACAGAAACAGCCCCATCATAGTAAAAAATGAAAATCTCATTATAGAACAGTAGTGCATACATTACACTCCTGAAAAGCCAGCTTGTATTTTAACACACTAAAGTTCGGAAGGTTTGTTCATTTGAATTTAAGAAGGTCAAGAGATGCACTAGTGTGATTCTAAAATTTTGATTAGTAGTCATTTTGTAGTGTTCTGGACTTGACTTAATGCTTTGCTTTAAAAAAAAAAAAAGACAAAAACACTGGTGAGAGGCAAGCAGCAGAATTAAATTTCGCAAAATTAAGATAATTGACTTCCCTCACACAACTCTGACGATGCCACCC